GTAGGGGTCTTTAGCAGTGGGAGGATACCGGTGGTTGGACAGGCGATCCTTATTTCTTGTCACGTACAACCGTGGAATCGAAACCACGCCAGTTGACTCAATGACAGACCTTATGATACAGCGCGCACGTGCTAACCATTCGGCCTTCCCCCCCCCCCCCGGGGGAAAAAGAGACCCCGTCATCCATGGGCGTCACACATGGGGGGGGGGGGGTCCGAGGGGTTCCGAATACACTTGGACCCCCCAAAAAATTTACATAGTAGGCCCAAACTCCTATTTATTTACAACAATTATTTGGATTAGTTAAGATTCTATATCTGTATAAAACCTGTATATATCCCAATATGGTGTACATTGCTGAAATAAAACACAGAGAGAATCATCCTGGAAACATGTGTGAAGTGAAAAGTACCTGTGTTCCATAAAATTGTGTCTAGTTAGCCTGTCAATAATATTTTGTTAGTTTTTTTCTGCCACTTATCAGAGTGAATCGCATGTAGGTACCCAAAAACATTACCGCCTAAACCAAATATTTATCGCCCGCTCAGCCAGCAACGTAACCATAATGCTTTTGCACGCAGTGTCTTGGTAGACAGCATGGCCACATGGTGTTTGTTTATATTTTTTAGGGGTGTTAAAAAATGGGTTAGGGTTAGGGGTTAGGGTTGCGGACCCCCCTCCCCAATATATATTTCACGGCTACGCCTCCTCTGCCGTCATCTATGTAATGTTGTTCTTCTTCCAGGTTATTTTAGACATAACACGATTCAATTATTATCCATGTGAACTCTATTAGATATAAGCCAGAGTGGCTCAGTGAGTAAGGAGCTGGTTTAATACCCAAGGTGTCGCAGATTCGATCCCGATCGAATATGATTGGAACACACGCGATTTAACCCCATTTTCGGCCGCCATTTTGGATTCAAAATGACCGCTCTGAAATTTTATTGGATTTGGGCTAATTGAGCTTCACAGTACGATAGAAACCTATACTTTAGCATCCGCTGAATTCACAAGAAGTACTTTCATAGCTATATTAGTAAGTTTAGTTAGCGAAAACGCAACCTGACTGAGAGTAGGATCCAGGGTATACAAATGGCACCCTGCCCTTTCATGGGGTATACATGATAGTTTTCAACCTTTTTACTAGTCTATTCATTTTTAAATGATAGATATGTAATTGCTCTCTGGTCGGTCGCGAACCGCTTCTAGCACTCTCATTATCAGCTATCAGTGCATGCCTTGGCCAGATGTCTATAGATGAATTGCTCATGATACGAAAATTGTGAATAATCAGGCTTTTGTCTCTTTCATTATCATGTATTTTAAAGGGTTTGATGTTGGAATTTTGAATGCTAGAGGCGCTCTAAACAGCGTTCTCGGAATTGACAAATTTCAAAATTTTCTAGAGGCAGGGTAGGATATAATAGTCTCTAAATATTTGGTAATTTGTAAATAAGAACAGGTATTACTGACCAATTTGTCAAATTGTTATTACTATATACTGAGCGTGATTTCCGTTTCAACATTTTACGACAATGGTGAGAAAGAATATTATTTCGATTGAATATGCCGAAAACGACTGCACGGGACCTCGTTTTTTCGTCTCATCCGAATGACTAGACAGCTGTCCTTGTCAACCCCTCCGTCCTGCATCACTGACAAGTGGGAACCACGCCTGAAAATCTGGGTGAAGTTTCTCGGTCAATGCAGGGATCGAACACCCGACCTCCAGGCTAGCGAGCTAGCGTCTTACCCACCGTGACCCCACGACTATCATAGTGTGTATTGTTATGTTAATGCCATTTATTTGAATAATATATGAAGATACTATCAATGATAATTCGCTCAAGGTGACAAAAGGAATAATCATATTATATCGATCCGTTCGGTACATTATTCATTTCTTTGTGCACAACAACAATAGATCCCACTGTTCTGTGGAAAGAAATGAAATGAAATGAAATGGGGTTAAACGTCCTACTGTTCTGCTCCTATACTGGGCTAATGAAGACGGGCATACGCCATACAGTGTGCTATGAGGGAATTTTTTCCCCGACAGAAGAGATCTTTTACGTGTACGCCAATGTGTACAGTGGAACTCAGTTATTGAAATGAAATTGAACCGTATGTTAGTTCCGAAATGACGTAGTTTGTGTCGACTGGGCACGCGGGGAAAATCCCGATGAACTTTCTAGATCAACACCGGGGTCGAACACGTGACCTCTTCTTTGCCATTAAAGGAGCTAAATCGCTAATATTTGGCACCTAGAAATTGACACAAATGTATATAAACTGATTTGCATTCAATCGTTTCCGTTTTTACTGTAATTTCAAATCAATTATGTTCGGCGAAATACGCGAGAAGTCTCAATTGAATGGCAATCTCTAGCGTCTAGTTATTCCAGTCTACACCAGTAGCATTTATTGCGCAAGCTCCCCAGATAAGAATATGGCGTCACCGTGGTTAGATCTATTTGATAAGGCCAAATGCGCTAATTCCAACTCTAACCCTAACCCTAGCCCTAAGGTTTACCCTAACCTACAATCTCGCAAACAATCATGTGTCCTAACCTTATCCTAGCGACCTTAACGAAAATTCGAGAACCTTAATAAACAGATCTATCCGTGTCACCGTTTGCCATGACATTTGGAATATGTCTACTTGTTACAAATGGTGCTGAAACAGATTATGTTACACGATTCGTGTACCTATTGTAAAATGTTTATTTTGTCTTAAATATAAGGTATCAGAAGCCCATCTTTTCGCGGTAAGATCACAACATCATTGTTGATTTAAATTGACAAATAGTTCGTGTTGTCAATGTCGAAGACTGTGGGTGATATAGGGTTAAAGACTTACCTACTTCAAGCCAAAAAATCGAGAAAATAAATACGATTAAAAATCAAGCTTTGAAACCAACCATTTCTACCCGTTGTCTCAAACTGACCTCGCGGCAATCTTACTCTCAGCTGCCGTATCGATTCTTTTGTGTCAATCTATAAATTAAATACAATTTCTATTTCGTTTCGTTTTAATGGTTGCGATTTTTTACGCTACATAAGATATAAATTTTATATAATTAGAGCAGCTGCCGTTAGACGGATGACATTAAATGGGTTAAGAGGCATGGCTTCCCTTTGTCAATGGTGCAGGACGCAGGGCTGTCAACCTCGTGGGTTTTCTCCGGGTCCTCCGGTCTCCCCCCACTGCCAAAGACCCCTACGCGGCAAGGGAATTATTGAAATCAAATTGAACCATGTGTTAGTCCCGAAATAACCTAGTTTGTGTCGAGTGGAAGTTAAACCCCATCTCTCCCTCCCTCTCTCTCTCTCTCTCTCTCTCTCTCCAAAACTATTAGTATTAAAGTATTAAAGTATTGATATTCTTTCTAGATATGTATATATAATAATGTTTGCGCGGAGGAGGGGGGGGGGGCATTAATGGACCCCTTGCTGGTTTTAGCTGCACAATGGTAAATCCGGACATGGAAAAACAAGTTCGAATCTTTCTCTGTGTGGTTTCCAAAGGACAAACTACATGTATTTTTCCAAAGGATAAACTACGTTGTATTTTTTCCAAAGGACAAACTACGTTGTATTTTTTTCAAAGGACAAACTACATGTATTTTTCCAAAGGATAAACTACATGTATTTTTCCAAAGGATAAACTACATGTATTTTTTGCAATCTGTTTCACAGATATATAACTTCAAATGCATTCTACACCAGACATCATCACATCTCGCGTCGTCAATCATTAATTGGCTCGAGGGGGGATGCATTGTTTACTTAACGTCAATCGTCAACTGGTCCGGGCAGAATGATGACTTTTACTCATTTTAAATAACCATGCATTTACACTAAATAGGACATATTTTTATACAGATTTACTTCAAACATACTTTTTTTTTCTAATACTTCAAAAACATTTAAAGTATTTAATTTGCAGAAGGAAAAAATAATTAATGTTGCGACCTAATCAACCCGGACACATGTCATCCTTCTCAGTGATTGTAGCGGCCTCGCGAAAATTCTCTGCTGATCAGTGTAAATCCGGTTTATGTTTTGGTTTTTTTTTTAGGCCATCAATATAGTCGATACAAGACATATTTCAAATAGAGATCGCCATTATTATCGAGGAAAGGCCACCGTGTACCTTGCACGCACATCGCGGCAGAAGACAGTAACAGAGAAAATGTCTGCTACAGCGTCTGTCTTTGTTGATTAGCGAAGAAGAATAAGATGGCCGACATTTCGGAAGTTTTGGCCTACGGACCGAATGGTTTATTTGCATGGGTCGCATGGCTCCTATCCTACGTTTGTTGATCGTTCTATTCAATTAAATTCCATTTCACGATTCACACTGAAGCATACATTCATTGGACAAACAGACTAACCTCAATGAACAATAACACTTTGTTGTGATTGTGAAAAAAGATATCATTAACTGGGTGGATAAGCTTTATTGTTCTAACACTGGTTTAATACATCCAACACCGTGTGACATATAACTAAAATTCAAGTATTACAGAAAAAACACTAAAAATTAAATTTTTGGCTAATACTTTCATTGTTATCAAACGAATCGTCAGGCCATTTTAATGCGTTACTATGCTGTTACATTAAAATGGCCGGTCTGTTCGTTTGATAACGATGAAAGTACTAGCCCAAAATTTAATTTTTAGTGTTTTTTTTCTCTAATACTTAAATTTTACTTATATGTTTAACTGAGAGTTAGATCATTTTATATATTTTTTTGTTATATATATATATATATAATTCCCATATTTCACACTGATTAATTAATACACGAGATGTAACTGAAGTCATGTTTACTTTCTCACGGATGTCATATGATCTAAGTCAGGGGAAAAAAGCGATATATTAACTTTTCCCACACGGACTACGTGATAACTGAATGTTCCCTGTTTAGTGTTTCGGAATATAAGAAAAACATTAATACTAAAACGAGAACAAATTTAGAATAAAATTCTTACCCTTCCTTGCGTAAACAGAGAAATGATCTTGTTCTTCTATAAATAGCACACGCGTAAATTGAAATAACGGAATGTACTTTGGGCCGTGAAACAAAGAATGTTTGTGCTTTATAAAGCCCAAACACAACAGATACAAAACTTTGCCGTTATATCTACAGCCAACATGGTTAACGGTATCACAGACTAGCAAACAATACAATCACTTCGTGTATAGAAATCGACGATCCTCGTAGCCATAGTTTTATAATGTAATCAAAATGGTGGTTCCTCCACTCCCGTCAAACTCACGTCTAGTATTAAAATCCGTTCCAGAAATAAACACGAGTGTGTCGTGTCGTCTAGTGCTGTAGCTACCAAGACCGACATGCATTTGCATTGAACGAAGGCACTGTTTCGCCAATAAACCTAGTGCGTTCAAATAGCCTGTCTTAATGTGACCGTCAATGCATGATGATGAGGCCAGACCGTGTCCCAACCTTGATACTATGTATCAGTCGAACACATCCATCAAATCTTCAGCAGGATATTTCGCGTGTCATTAATTAAATGAAGTGCGTGGCTTCCTTGTTTCTAGGTCAGCCTTGATAATTAGATTACATATCCTAATGGGGGTGGAAATTTATAACGAATTAATTGGACATAATATTGATCGGAAAATTTTCGGAAATTGTTAAAATTTTAATAATTTATCAATAAACCCATGTTACAACAAAAGATAATTACAAATATAAAACATCATATTGGAATTTGAAAAAAAGAATATATATATATATATATTATATTTATTTCAAAATATGAGTAGAGTAGTAAAGCACGAGATTTGTATATAATACAGAAAATTTCAATGTTGACGTATAACTTGTTAATATTTAATGTCACAGGCAATGATCACTATAACTTATTCAAAATGAAATGAAATGGGGTTTAACGTCCTACTCTTTTGCTCCGAACTGGGCTAATGAAGACGGGATAACTTATTCAAACCAGTGTTACTATGGAAATATGTGTATATACACTATACTGTTCATATCTATACAATGACATTATTATTTATGAATAGTCCCCAGACGGACAAAAGGTACCGTACTTTAAAATGTTATTTAACCAGCGTTGAAATCAGTTTGTGTCGGCATACCTTTTTTCTTTTCATCGTTTACCGTGAAACCGAGTAGTGCAGCTTTACGGTTGAGCTAAGCCGCCCATATGAAATGTTTATGTTCATGTGTAGGCAATTGGCCTGTTATTAACATACACTGGTCACCTCTAATAAAAACAGCAGTGCATTTCCGCAGTTTTGTAATGTTTCTGAATATCCCCTACTGTTTTTTTAAGAGTATATATTGCGAGGGAATTTCCTACTGGTCTTTTTTGATATTAAACACAAATCGATAATGTAAAAAAAGAACGCAGCTTTGTTGATATATAGAGAATCTTTTATGAGTCTTTTTTTATATTAAAAAAGACGAGTAAGAGATTTTATTTATAACCCAATCCTTTCTTACATGCACAAATAAATAAATATAATTCTTTACTATAGATTTCACTTTTACTGAGCCTGATTACATTAAGGCGTAGTGATAGATCATTTTTTGACAGCAATTCAACCATTGCAAAATCCTTTATATTGACCCAGTGTTTCCACCAAAGTCAATTAAAAAAAAGCTAGTTCCTTTTTTAATTGGAAAGAAGTTACTTTTAATAATAAAAAAAAATGAACTGATATTTTGAAAATAAAAAAGTAGTTCCTTTTTGATTGACCAATCATGAAATTTATCACACAAGCGATATCTACAGCAAAATGTATTATTGGGTGATAATTCTTTATATCAAAAAAGACGTGTAGGAGATTTCATTTATCGCCCAACCCTTTCTTACAACGCGCAATTAGATAAATATAATTCTTTGGTATGGATTTTATTTCATGTAAATCTCTCAAACGGATTTTATATCAAAAAAGACGAGTAGGTGATTTCATTTATCACCAACCCTTTCTTACAACAGACAAATAAATAAATTATACATATATTTCTTTAGTATAGATTTTATTTCATGCAAAGTTATGAAAGTAATCACTTAGAATGTATTATTGGGTGATAAAATCACCTTTGTGACCTTACAAAGCTATATTTGTGTACATTATTTTCTAGACACCCTTCGTTATTAATTAATGTGTGTTAAATATAATATACAAGACAGATCAACTATTCAACTCAAAGAAATGTTTTGTGTGTATTTATGGATATATTATTATTCGATACGGGACAACTGCACGATACAAAATGACCAAAATGTAGGGTGCCCCAGTGTCCACCATAAATAAATATCTCCAACAATATTTATATATACCATAAGCCTTAACTTAGTTTATCACATATAATTTTCCGACGAGGTTTCCAGTTGTCACTGGAGCAGAAACTAAGGGTCTGGCAAATGCCTAGTCGTTTGGACTGGGGCGTAAAACCAAAGCATGCAGGTGGAATTGGTCATAGCGCCACTTCCCGGGCAAACTTTTCCGTGTCACACTTTATTAACTATGTTGGTGTCGAAAAGTAGGAAAAGAAATGAAATCAAATGAAATCGGGTTTAACGTCCTACTGTTCTGCTCCTAACCTGGGCTAATGAAAACGGGCACACACCATACAGTGTGCTATGAGGGAAATTTTGCCCGGGCAGCGGCGCTACGGCCTACTCTTATATCGAACATAATTCCACATCCGTGGAATCGAAACCACGCCAGCTGACTCAATGACAGACCTTATGATACAATGCGCACGTGCTAACCATTCGGCCACATACGAGACCTAACCCCATTTTCGGCCGCCATTTTCGATTCAAAATGACCGCCTCCGAAATATTATGGGATTTTGGCTATTTAAGCTTCACGGTACGATAGAAACCACGCCAGTTCGAAACCACGCCAGTTGACTCAATGACAGGCCTTATGATACAGCGCGCACGTGCTAACCATTCGGCCATACAACCCCCCGAATAAATTATAAGACACGATATGTAAAAACCACAATCTAAATATTTATATTTCATTTATTTTCATATGGAATTTTCAAAATCTTTGGGAGATTTCGAGGAAGTTATGTACTACAGAAACAAATTCGTCAGAATTGTTTCTGTCTTCAGTTCCGAATAATAAGTTTTGAGAATTTCGATAGAGTTTTGGGAGTTTTGGGAGGTGAATAATTAAAGAATTTGGAGAAATTTGTTTGAAAGAAATTACTTGGGGGATCCTTTGGTTGTACAGGAGGCCCCTCCACTGAAACTCGGTGTTTTCTTTCAATTTTATTGTTTGATATTTCAAACAAAAATTCGGGTCAGAGGCTAGCGCCTCTGGCGCCTTCAGCTTTAATTCACTATATTTGTATAAACACGAAATCACTCAAACTCTACAACAGTGTTCTCAATCTTTGTTTGCCAACGGCACACCTTGGATCACATGGAAAAATAGCGACACGCCTGGCTAAATATTAATGAAAAATATTTGAATTTTGCAAAATAAAAACATGGCAAGTCATAGACGGCATACAACCGTAGACACGGACTAGTCATAGACACATAGAATGACAAACTAAATAAAGAAAAACACAGCTATGAACTTACTTTATTGCAGTGTTTCGAATTTCATCAGTCAAATAGCTGGCTTCTTTATTGAGAAATTTTCTTAGTGTGCCGTTCAAAATTTCGCGGCACACTTAGGAAGATCTCGGGGCTTTTTTTGTAAGGCGGTATGTATATACATAGTACCACAAGAAGAAAATCCACTGCAATCTACCTTGGGTAATGTTTTTTATAGAGAGAGGACTAACACACGGGACTAACACACCGTTCATTTTTATTTAAATAATTCGCTTGCGTGTAGGGGTCTTTAGCACTGGGAGGAAACCAGAGGACCCGGAGAAAACCCACGAGGTTAGACAGGCGACCCTACTCCTTGTCACGTACAACCGGGGAATCGAAACCCCGCTAGTTGACTCAATGACAGACCGCATGATATAGACGAATGATCTTTGTAAAACGGCCTTATTTAAGTTATCCTCAAGTTTACGCACTCTAAAAGTATAATCAAATTGTAAGTCACCATAGACACACTCAACGCCATGATTTTTAATACATAATATTATTAGCGCAACTATTAGTATCCACTGATTTGGCGAAACAAAAAAGATTTAAATATTGGGAGTGTCTATGTGGTAGGCGAGGAATTTTCCAACAATATAAGTCAGGGCCCTGTTTTCGCAAAAACTTAAATCTCCTTAAAATCATCTTAAACTAAAATTTCATCCTAACTTAAGATAGATGCGTTTCACAAAACGATTTTAAGCATTTTAGATAAAATCCACTAAAATAATATTGTTAGTTCAAATTGTATCTTAACTTAAAGTAGCTAAGTCAATATCATCCAAAATGTTTCACATCGAAAACACGAATTATTTGTTAATTTAAATCAACATAGACGTTGTGATCTTACTTCCGATATCCAATATTCAAGACAAAATAAACATTTTACCATTGGTAACGTCCACTCGACACAAACTAGGTCATTTCGGGACTAACATATGGTTCAATTTTATTTCCATAATTCGCTTGCGCGTAGGGGTCTTTAGCAGTGGGAGGAAACCGGAGGACCCGGTGAAATGAAAACCCACGAGGTTGGACAGGCGACCCTACTCCTTGTCACGTACAACCGGGGATTCGAAACCACGCCAGTTGACTGAATGACAGACTTAATGATACAGCGCGCACGTGCTAACCACTAAGCCCCCTTCCCCCCCCCTCCCCCCCTCCCCCCCAACATTGATTAGAGCTACGGGGTTAGATCTATTGCGACATATATATTTGGAATAATGATTATATTGCTAATGGCCCGGGTCACACAATTTTGACATACTATATATCATTCACAAAAACAATTTTCATTCAATTTTTTTTTCATTGTAGCATGTGGAATATAGCTGCATTTTAAGCAATTAGATGACACCCCACCCAAAATTAAAAGCCCAAGAAAAAAAAGTAAACAAAACTCTTTGTTACTATATATTATCATATGATTCAGGTATAAATTATATTTTTTTCAAAAAAGAGAACGAAAAAAAGAAAAAAGAAAAGAGAAAGAAAGGAGAGGGTGAGGAAAGAAAAGAAATAAGGACGGAGAGGACAGGACACAGGACAGGAGAAAGAAAAGATAGGAAAAAATGACTGACAAACAACACAAAAAAAGAAATGTACTACAAGACTGCTTTGGTCTGAAATGCTTGGAAAATGGGTTTGCGGTTGTCAATTTTCAAAATTTTCCTGGGGAGAGACCCCCCCATCTCCCTGAGACGTTCGCGCGCCTTCGCCGCGCTCGTGTCAATGGCCTGACAGGTGGGCCGAAGGCGGCACTGATTTTCAAATAATAAATAGGCGTAAAAAAAAACCAACAACAACAAAAACTAAAACAAGACCTGAACTTACTTCATATCTAATGTCATGGAAATAAGAGCATTCTTATCTATAAAAAAAAACATTAT